CAAGCCCAGCTAGTATCTTTAAAATCATCATTCTGAACTCTAGTTCTGACATCATACTAATGTCCGTATTGAGTAGGTCCCTGGCAGTCGGTACTACCTCTTGTTCTTTTTTTTGAGGTGATTTTTTCCGTCTTGTCATTTTGTCTAGAGGAATAGATGAATGAGAGAACAAAATGCTAACAAGGTAAGAACGACCCCAGAAAAATATACACTAAACAAATCAGAAGAGACCTGAAACCAGGGGAAAAAAAGGGAAAGAAAGAAAAAAGAAAAAGATAAAAACAAACAAACAAAAATCAGAATATGATCAAATATGATCAGGGTGGTGCATAGATCAGTGCCACACACTAGATTTTGGGTGTATTTTGGTCTTTCAGAAGAAAGTGCCTCCCAGAATTTTAAAGAACGTAAAACTTATATATGTACAAAAATAAGGGTTAATACGGTGAAGGGATGGACTACTTCTGTAAAGATGAAAATTATAAAAACTTTTATAAAAGGAATTGATAAGATAAGAATTTGAAAAAAGAAAGAAGAGGATTTTAAAAAAAAAAAACGGAAAAAAGGAGAGAATGTGATCAGGCAGGAGACTAGAACGAAGCCATACACTAGAGATTTATGGTATATTTTGATCTGTTAGAAGAAACTGTATCTCAAAATTTTAAAAAGAGACCAACTTATATGTATATGCCAAAAATAAGGGTAACTACAATGAAAGGACAGAAATGAAAAATAAAAATGGTTTCTAAAAAATGGATTGATGTTGGTTGAAAAAGGGAAAAAGAAAAATTCAAAAAAAAAAATTAACTTTGAAGGACTAAAGTATCATGGGAAAAAAGCCATGAATTTTATGTGCAGTATTCCCCTAGCGCTGGAGTTCTGCCGTTCTCATTGATGGTAAACTTGGTCTTGGCTGGCTGTTCTTGCTGATCTTCTGTGGGAGGGGCCTGTTGCCATGGTTCCCAAATGTCTTTGCTGGAGGCGGAATTGCCCCGCCCTTGCCGGGTCTGGGCTAAGTAATCTGCTTGGGTGTGCTCTCGGGAAAGCTCTTGTTCCCTGCAAGCTTTCCATACAGCTTTGGAGGACGAGAGTGAAAATGGCGGCCTCCCCCCCCCCCCCCCCCCCCCCCCTCGGTGGAGCTGAGAACTCGGGGCCCCATTCCTCAGTGCACCCCCGTAGAAAAGCAGTCAGTCACTCCCGTCTCCCTGGTCTCCGGCCCCACTTCGTGCTCACCGGCCTGTGACCGATTGTTTCTATCTCTGGTAGCCGACCCCATGTGGAGTCTCCAAACCCAGCAGATCCCTGCGGTGCGCTCCTGCGCCGCTCCTCCCCAGGGAGGAAGGGGAGTCTCCAGATCTGCCGCTTGTTGGGTCCCTGCTGGAGGAGCAGTGGCCCAACTGTGCTGCGCGGTTCATGGTTTATTGCAACCCCGAGCTGAGAGCCCGCTCCTCGGCTCCATTTCTGCAGCCGGCTTCCCTGCTCCGATACCTGGGAGCTCTGCTGCATTTAGGCACCCCCGTCTTTCTGTGACCCCGAGAGTCCTGCAACCACACTATCCCGCGAGGGTTCCACCCACCCGCTTAGCCACTGGAGCGACGTGGGTCAGCGGAGCCGACTTCTAAAAGTTTCTTATTTTGTGCTCTGTGGCTCTATCACTTGCCAGAAGCGGCCGACGGAGGCCCCCTCCCTCGCCGTCTATCCTCCCGAATAATGCCTCGGATTCACTTCTCCGCACGTCCTACCTTCCAGAAAGTGGTCACTTTTCTGTTCAGAGAGTTGTTGCTATTCTTTTCTTTGATCTGCTGTTGAGTTCGTAGGTGTTCAGAATGGTTTGACTCCTATGCAGCTGAATTCCTGGGACCAGATGAAATCCAGGCCTCCTACTCCTCCGTCATCTTGCCCGGAAATCTCAGTTTAGAGGTTTTTAGAATGTTTAGTCAATAAATAGTTTTACTTAGAATTAGCATTTAGGCTGGAAAGAGAAGCCTAGGGTATGTCAATCTGTGTCTGAATTTTTAAGTCATTTTTTTCAATTCCATTTGATACTGTTTTCAAGAGACCTCTATTGGACGTTTTCTGCCTATCTTGTAATGCATAATAAAGCAAATTAATAGTCTTATTCCATATCCTTCCATGATACCCATCTTCTCCATAACAACAACTAATGTCTTTTAACTTATTTCACAAAATAAGACATATCAGACTATTCTTGCCTGGCACCTTTGTGTTTTGTTAGTCGCCAAGTCCTGATTTATATGAAAACTTTATACCATTTTTTTTGATGATAAAAATCCCTAGATTTTTTGTTTGTTCACTTAGGTCTTTAATCTTTCCAGCTACTACTTAGTCATCTCTCACTGGTACAGATTTGTTTTAGAACTTTACTACTTGTATCTCAGTCATTAATTCTTAAGGTCAGGGATTGGCAACCTTTGCATATGGAGTCAGATAGTAAATATTTCTGGCTTTGTGGACTATATGATCTATGTAGTAACTGTTTAGTTTTGCCAATATAGGACAAAAGGAGCCATAGACAATATGTAAACAAATAGATGTGGTAGTACTCTCTAATAAAACTTATTTAAGAACACTGAAATTTGAATTTTTACAGTTTTTGCGTGTTAGGAAATACTATTCTTTTGATGAAAAAAACCCCAATTTTATTTACTTTCTTTAGGCTGCCGTAACAAATGACCACAAACTGGGTGGCTTAAGACAATAGTTTTCACACAGTTCTGGAAACTAGAAACTTGAGATTAAGGTGTTGGAAGACTCTGAATTCTCTGGGGAAGAATCCTTCCTTATGTCTTCCAGCTTCAGGAGGTTCCTGGTAATTCTTGGCACATCTTGCCGTAACTGAGTCATTTAAGTCTCTTCCTCCATTGTCAAATGGCTTTCTTCCCTGTATGTGTGTTTCTGTTTCCAAATCTCTGTTTCCTTTCTCTTATAGACCAGTAGGCATTGGATTTGGTGCTCACCCTAATTCAATATGACATCACTTTGATTACATCTGCAATGGCCTTCCCTCAAAATAAGGTCACATTCACAGGTACCAATGCTTATGATTTCAACATACCTTTTTGTGGGGCAATATTCAGACCATGTCTCTATTTAAAATATGAAAACCATTCTTAGCTCGTGGGGCATGCAAAACAGGTGGTAGGGTGGATTTGGCCCCTGGCTATATTTGTTAACCTCTGCTCTAGCCAGAGTTGGCTTTTCATTTATTCTCTGAACATCTTATTCTTATTGGAAAACAAGGTGAAAATTAACATTCATTGAGTTCCTACTATCTCCCAGACATTTTGCTGAGTGTTTTGACATCCTTTATCTTGTCTAATCTTCAGACAACACTGTAAAGCAGATGTTATTCTTGTCAGCAGCTCAGGAAATGGACTGAGAACGTTGTTCAATTACTTATTCATGCTCATAATGTATAGGTAGCAAATAGTCTGGGATTTGAATCTGCACCTGAAAGTGAGTGACACTAATATTTTTTTCTTCCTGCACTACTCCTTGGAATAGATCCCAAATCCTTAATCTCCTTTAGCTCTTCACTAAGATGATTGCACATTCACAGTGTTTCATATATATTACATTTGCTTTGATAACCGAAAACAGTTAGATTAAGACAAAAATAGGGATTAAGGGAAAGACATTGAGATTGCTCACAGAATTCAGGGAAATGCTAAACAGTCAAGTTTCAGGAAAGATGAACCAGAGCAGCTACAGACAACTCAGCAGTGCCCCGCCCCTTTTTTTTTAAGATTTTATTTATTTATTTGACAGAGTGAGAGACAGAGAGAGAGGGAATACAAGGAGGGGGAGTGGGAGAGGAAGAAGCAGGCTCCCCACTGAGCAAGGAGCCCAGTGTAGGACTCGATCCCAGGACTCTGGAATCAGGACCTGAGCCAAAGGCAGACACTTAATGACTGAGCCACCTGGGCGCCCCAGTGGGCCCTTTTTTTAAATATGACACTATCACTATGGTGATTCAGCTCCAACGTCTCACCTCTCCCCTTTCCCCTTTGCCTTTACCCTGAAATCCTTTTGGGGTGAATCTGATTGGCCTAGTTTGGGCATAGTGTATCTGATCCTGGATCAAATGACCATAGCAAGGTGGGCATTTTGTCAGTTTTATGAGTGACATCTTTTGCATCATACTCATTCACGGGACTCCTTTGTGGTATAGAGGGTCAAACAGAATAATCCCCATGTAATACATGTTACATGTCATTGTTATTTCCTGGTTATGTACCTAAGACAGTGACACATCTCAGTTAGAAATCTTTCCTCTAGAGCAGGTTATATTCTCCTATGGAACTTAGTTTGTGATTTTGTAGTAGCAGTGTCTTTTCCTTGCACACTCCCTCCCTTCTTTTCTGTCTTCTCTCTTTCTTCCCTCCTTTCTCCATTACTCTTCTGCTTCTCTTCTCTATTATTACCCTGGTACGCTGTTCCAGAGCTGAGATTTTCTTTTAGTCATATTTGTATTTTAATGAGCCAGATCTTGAGACCATCTTTTGAAAGTATTCAAGGAGAGTGAACAGAAAATTAATAAGGTCCCTAGATGGGAGCAACCTTGGTACGTTTGCTTTGTAGCCCAGATGACTGTTAAGGCTGGACAGAATGATATGAACTGAGTTTGGAAAAGTAGGCAAAGGAAACGTCATTTTTAGGTCCTTGTTTTCATTTTATGTTTAATGGAAAGCCATTGAAGACTTTTAAACAAAAGAGTGATCTGATGATTTGCCTTTTCAAACAGTTATTCTAGCTTATTTGGGAAGAAGTAATTGTAGGGGAGATGGGCAACAGTATTGGAAGCATTGGGGCCAGTTCTCAGTCTATCATAGCAGATTTTAAGAGCTCCAGAAAATTTAAATGTCATGTAAAATTGATTTGATTAAACTTTTACAGTTCATTTTAGTATAGCCTCTAAAATTTCTACTAATTTGTTTTACTCTTTTACCAAAGTAAAATTTGTAGTAAGCATATTACATATACCTTCTCTCTCAGGGCTGTTCTTACCTGCCCTGTCTCTTTGATTGGTTGTTTTCAACAAAGCTATGAAGAAATAGTATGTATTGAGATCTGTAAGGCATGCTCTGGGAACTTTTTACTTTGCTAGTGAAAATGTTCTGTTTATCTCTTTAAATAACATAACGTTCCTTGAATTGCATCCTGAAATACTTTCTTGAGTGGAAGACAAAGGAGTGAATTATAGCCAGCGTGACATTAATTACCCATAATCTTGGGAATACCCATGGGAGTGTTAAGTCAGCCATCTTAGGAGTCATGATGCAAAAAAGGTTGAAGCCCCTGTTCGAGATGAAAGGTAACCATTTTACTTTGTTTATGTATTAATCTTTTTATTTTATTTCAGTAAGAAATGATCATTTAAATTAGAATATTTATATGAAAGTGACTTGTTAATTTTAAAGTGCTGTGCAAATAGAAAAAATTTAAATTCACAGGATCAATATAAATCGTTACTGATTGCTTTGAAAAGTAAGTATAATTCATATCTTTATCGCTAGGCTTTGAAACTTAATTTTTGTGGCTGTCCCTTTGGAGTCTGGACTCTGTATATTTTTACATTTATGTAGCATCAAAAATTTTTATCTTAATTTTAAAATATTTTATTTAACAGTTATTGATAGTTATTTATCCTTTCATTAATAATGAAAATTTAAATGACCATAACTGAAACAGTTACATTATTTAACTTTCTAGCAAAAAAATTTATTATATTGTATTCTTTAGCTTTTTTTTTTTAATTTTTTTATTCTTATGTTAATCCCCATACATTACATCATTAGTTTTAGATGTAGTGTTCCATGATTCATTGTTTCT